AAAGGAGAGAAAGAAAAACTCAAACCTTTTAAAAGAGAGTCAAAGAGAACACGTGGCGAAGTGTCCGATCATCTCCTCCAGCCGACCACAGCGTAAAAGTGCTATTTTTTTCAACGTTGTAGTAGCTCACCCACCAACTGTCCACGTGTCCCCATCCTCCATTTCAATTGCCCACGCATCTTTAATTCAAAAAAAAAAATAATAAAAATAAATAAAGAATAAAACAAAACAATTTTCATCTCATAAATAATGCGCGCCCTTCACAAACGAACCACACCACACACACCTCTGAAGTGTACCAAAAACACATGGACCCGTTTTTCGGTCTCTCTCTAATCTGGGTGTCGGGCATTATATTACTCGGATCCGTGGTGTCGGACCAGATTGTACCCGGGTCGAGGCTGTATGCGGGAGAGGACCGGGCGTGGGTCTCTGATAACGGGTCATTCGCTTTCGGGTTTGCCCCAGTAAGCTCGAAGGAGGATCGGTTTCAGTTGGGCGTGTGGTACGCGCAGATTCCTGGAGATCGGACGCTTGTCTGGTCGGCTGATATGTAAGTCGTGTTTTTTTCTTTTACTTCTCGTGTCACTGTGCTATGGCTTGGTTAATTGTTCATTAATGATACTGACTCACTGCTGGCATTGTAATTTGGGATTTTGTGTTGGTTGCAATTATGCATATAAGTGTTTTGAGTTGAGATCAATGCCATGTAAATGAACACGAACTGTAATGTGAAGCGTGAACGAGCTGAGCTCGAGCTCTGTTTTATCAATATAACAAGTTCAACTCGAGCAAATATTGAGTCTTAACGAGCAAAGCTATAAAAAAATTATATAAAAATCTCTATTCTCGAGCCAAACTCGAGTCAAGTTTACTTGTTAACTAAATATGCTTTAAAAGCGTTCTGATGATACCAATTTTGTAAAAATAAGAAGCATATGCGCAATTTTATATGCCAAATGATATGGTCAGGACTAACAATATATACCCTTTATCCTTGGTCAACAAAACATTCATTTTTCTCTAAAAATAATCTAAATATAGAAACTCTCCAGTCCCACGCGGCGCCACCGTGGAGCTCCAAACCGACGGCGACCTCGTCCTCCGCCACCCGTCCACCACCACCACCGCCTGGTCGTCCAACACCTCCCTCCTTGGCATCCAGTCCGCCTCCATGTCCGAAAACGGCAACTTCATCCTCTTCGGGCCTGGCCTCCAGCCCGCTTGGCAGACCTTCTCCCACACTTCCGACACCCTCCTCCCCGGCCAGCCCCTTACCGTCTCCCTGGAGCTCAAATCCTCCTCCTACACTCTCAAAATGCTCCAACAGCCCAACTCGTTGAGCCTTGCTCTCGCCTTCAACACCCCCGAGCCCGGCTCGAACCTAACCTACTGGTCCGGGCCCGACATCTCGAACGTCACCGGAGATGAAGTCGTTGCCGTCCTCGACTCCGCCGGAAATTTCGGCATTCTCTACGGTCCCTCCGGCGAAGGGGCCGTTTACGTGTACAAAAACGACAACGAGAGCCGGTCCGCCCTCAATCGGACCGGGCCCGGCCCCGTCCCTCGGAGACTCACGCTCGAGACGAACGGGAACCTCCGACTCTACAAGTGGGCCCATCGGTGGGTTTCCGAGTGGGCCGCCGTTTCGAACCCCTGCGACATCGCCGGAACGTGCGGGAATGGTATATGCCGTTTGGACCGGAGCCAGACGAACCCTTCCTGCACGGGCCTTCCAGGTCATCCTGTGGGAAAATGCAGCCCGAATTCCGAGATCTCGGTCGTGCAGCAGACGGGCTACTATTATTCGGAGTCTTCGGTTATAGCGAATTATAGTGATCTGGAGACGGTCTCAAAGTGCGGGGACATGTGTTTGTCGGATTGCGAGTGCGTTGGGTCGGTTTACGGGTTGGATGAGGAGAACGCGTATTGTTGGGTATTGAGGGAGTTGGAGTTCGGGGGGTATGAGAATCCGGGTTCCACGTTGTTCGTTAAAGTCGAGCCGGGTAGTGGCGGAGGGTCGTCGGGAGGATTGAGCGCGAGACAGGGGAAAGTTCTAGTGCTTCCGATTGTTTTGAGCATGACTGTTTTGGTTGGCCTGCTTTTCTGCTTGTTGTACATCAATGTACATCGGAAGAGGAAATTGAAGAGGGCGCTCGAGAGCTCGTTGATTGTGTCTGGGGTGCCGGTTCGTTTCAGCTACCGGGATTTGCAGCTGAAAACGAGTAGTTTTTCGCAGCTTCTTGGAACTGGTAATGATTTAATAATTAATTCGTCATGTTTATGTTTTTTTGTTGTTAGACAAAGAAAAAAGAAAGATTTAGATTGATTTTGTGGCAGGTGGGTTTGGGAGTGTGTACAAGGGATGTTTGAGTGATGGAACCTTGATTGCGGTGAAAAAGCTGGACCGGGTTTTGCCGCATGGGGAGAAGGAATTTGTTACCGAGGTGAACACGATCAGCTCCATGCATCACATGAACTTGGTTCGCCTTTGCGGGTACTGCTCGGAGGGATCGCAGAGGTAAAGATCTATTGAAAATTAGAAGTACCTCAATGTTTGGTTGATAATTCGTAACTTCGAAAAAAAAGATGACGAGATTTCGAATCCGATCTGTGTCTGCAGGCTCCTAGTGTACGAGTTCATGAAAAACGGGTCCTTGGACAAGTGGATATTCCCTCCGTACACTTACCAAGGGTCCCTCGACAACCGGGTGCTCGACTGGTCGACTCGGTTCCGCATCGCCATTGGGACCGCGCAGGGGATAGCGTATTTTCACGAGCAATGCCGAGATAGGATAATACACTGCGACATCAAGCCCGAGAACATTTTGCTAGACGAGAATTTCTGCCCGAAAGTTTCAGATTTCGGGCTCGCTAAGCTTATGGGCCGGGAGGCCTCGCAAGTCGTGACTATGGTGAGGGGAACGAGAGGCTACTTGGCTCCCGAGTGGGTTAGTAATCGGCCGATCACTGTAAAAGCCGACGTCTATAGTTACGGGATGCTTCTGTTGGAGATCATCGGAGGGAGGAGGAATCTCGACATGAGTTACGACGCGGAGGATTTCTTTTACCCTGGGTGGGCGTTCAAGGTAATTTCTCATCTCGATTTTTAGTTACGGTGCACGAAATCAAGTAGCATTTCACATTCGATCATATCAATGAGTATCGACTGATTTGATTCGTTCTTCAGCAAAATCTAAAATCTTCTGACACAATCGAATTAATCTAGTATTTTTTTTTTCATTTTCTTGTTTTTTCTCAAGGAAATGACGAACGGGACACCGACGAAAGCCGTCGACAGGCGTCTTGAAGGGACCGTGGAGGAAGAGGAGCTCGTAAGAGCACTAAAAGTCGCGTTTTGGTGCATACAAGACGAGATCGTGATGCGGCCCACGATGGGTGAGGTCGTGAAGATGTTGGAAGGGTCGGTTGAGGGGATTAACGTGCCGCCGATTCCTCAAACGGTGTTGGAGTTGGTCGAGGAAGGGTTGGACCACGTGTACAAGGCCATGAAGAGGGAGTTCAACTTCAATCATTTTAGCTCGTTCACTACCTCTACTCATCATCCTTCCTCTCGTGCTACTTGTAGTTACTCAACAATGTCACCAAGATAATGATCATAATAATAATTGAAGAATTGATTTTTTCCCTCCAATTTTTTGTATTTGGGTTTTTATGTAAATAGAAACTCTTATTCCATTGTCTCTTTCATCCGGTGTTTTGATCAAGATTCACTTGTATTTGTGATCATGTTGCTTGTTAACATGATGGTAGCTCGGGTCTAATGTGTAAGGTGAAATAGTGAATGGAATAGAAGATATATGCATGTTATATACATTTGAGATCTTTTAGTAGTAGAGTTTTTTCTTAGATTTTTGAGATTTTTGCAATGTTATGAACTTAGAGGCTAAAAATTCAATTTTGAGTTAAACAAAAATTTTCATATGACCAATTTAGAGATGATTGGGTGCTAACGTAGAGTTGTTAAATGAAAACGAGCAGCTCGCGAGCTAAACTCGTTAAAGCTTAAACTCGACTATCAAATGAGTTGTGCCTAAGTTCGTTCAGTTAACGAGCAGATATAAGATTAAAAAATAAACGAATTGCGCTCGACTCGTAAAGGCTAGAGATTGATTCATCAAACAAGTTGAGTTCGACCTTGCATAATTAAAGAACATAGCTAAAATTAATAAATGAGGATCTTTTATACAATTTTTTATAATACGATTAGTTAAAGCTTGAACTCGATTCGTTAATGTTAATATTTAACTTCAACCTCAACTTGATAAAGGCTTGCATAATTATAAGTAGCAATTAAACCTTAATTAGATATATACACTCTATCAGCAGTTAACTGTCAGTGATTAATTTCCACTTTCATCTCTTCTTGCAGCTGCGAGAGGAAAACAGAAATGGAGAAGATGAAATTCGCAGAGGAGCTCGTGCGAGAATTCCTCGTATTCAGAGGGTTTACAACCACCCTCCAATCCTTCGAGAAAGAGCTGGCGACCGACATCGGCCGGGGATTTCAAGTCGACAAGATCTTAGACCTAATCTTCTCCAATTACATCCCCAAATTCGAATCGGAAAAGCTGATCGATCTCCTAAGCTTCTTCAAGAATTGCTTCTCGTACCCGGATTCAAATGCGGTTGATGTGCTGTGGAAGCTGGAACAGTCGATCCTGCGTTACTACATCGTTAACGCCTTGAAATGTGGAAGGAAGGACAAGGTGTTGGAGCTATTCGGAAGTTTTGGCAATGATTTGGTGCTGAGAGAGGGGAGTTGGAGCTCTTGGTTTGGTGAGTTGGTTCGTGGGGTTTTCCGTTGAATATTGTGATTTTCTTGACTAGAAACTGATTCTGTTTGTGTTTGTGTGTGTGTGTGTGTTTTGCAGCAATTCCATATATGAAGAACCCACATTTGGATCCGCAGTTTAGCGTGTACTTTTCCGAGGCTTGGTTTCGTGTCCTGCACCTCTCTATTAGGAATTTCTTGAGTGAGATTCTTGATGGTAATCATATCCTTGAGAAGATGAATGCATTTTTATTTCCTTTTCTTGTGTATTGACGGTTGATTAAATAATTGTTTCTTTTCTGTCTAGAATGTGGATGTTTCCTTGTTCTTCAATAGTAATTTTAGATTGAAATAGAGGTCGAGGAAAGAAGTATGTATATGCAAATTTAGATTTTTCTATTGTGTAAAACCACATACTTGAACCTGATGGAATGATCATCTTTTGTGAATGACACTGTCATTGCTGCAAAAAGGTTCGGATATGTTTTTCTGTTTTGTTCCTTAGCTTGTCCACGTACCCCTGCCTTATTGAAGATCAGTTCCGAAAGGGATACTGTGGCCCATCTGAAGAAAGAGGTTAAGCAACTCACTCACAAGTTATCACAAGTTCAAACTTCACTGGAGGAGAAAGAGGCACTACTGCGCCTATCAAGGAGGTAATCTTGATAGTTTGATTGTCTCTTGAGTTTTTTGTGTGTATCAACTGAAAAGGAATGGTAATGCTTCTCTAATTAGCAACTCATCTTTTAATGCTTCAGTGATGCAGCACAAGCCACTGTTTCACCCAGTATTTCTCGTTGGAAGTCTACATCAGTAATCGAAGAAAAAGTGCCATTTCAGATTGCAGAGAATACTCAAGTTTCAGAATCTCTTTTTTCAAGGTTTAATTCTTATAACAATGCTAATGAGGATAGAAGCTGTGATGGCCCTGATGTTGGTAAGTTGCTGTTGGAGTTTGTTGAATCCTTTATGGAGATACTTTGCATCAAGTATTGTGGTTTTCTGGTCATGGTGATTGGATTTAGCTATTGAAAGTCCGGAAACTATACGATGTATGTAGTTGGGATCAATTTATGAGTTTATCTGATCAACAATTTGAAGTGGCTGTTAGTTTTCAACCTCAATTCTGAAGTTGTTTATGATTTTCCATTACAGGTAGACATTCTGATTTTCAGAATGAAGATGGTTTTCCAGAAGTGAAAGCAGTATGGCAGGTCAACTCCTTTATTCACACTTCTATGTTCTCAAGAATTATTCTCTTTCCATTTTATCCCTTAATTAATCTTTGATGTTAATCACGATCTTCCTTTGCAGGATACATTTCTGGGCCACACAAGTTCAATCAGTTGTAGCCGCTTCTCTGCATCCGGCGACAATATTGCTAGTGCTTCTATTGATGGCACGGTCAGGTATATATTGTCTACTTACCATGAAGATACATAGAAATTAATAGAGCTAATCAAATCATCTGAATTCTGGGGTAACCAGAGGATAAATATCAAATGTGCTCCTTAGTCAATGGGCAATTTTTATTGTTTTCTCTGTTGTCTGGACGGGGCAAAAAGAAAAAGAAGTGGAGGGGAACAAGTTTCTTAGTAGAATTATAGCAATTTTTCCACAAAATTGGTTGTTATAATGAACTGAAGTGCGTTTTGGAAGGGCTTGTTATCCTTCTTGCTAACAAAGTTGCATTTTACATTTGTCATATTTCCCTCCTTCTAATTTGCGAATTGTGATAAATTTTATCTAATTTAAAAATCTTTATGGCTTTTACCTCGTCTACTGATTTGATGTGCTGTGGTGAAGGATATGGACCTACGATTCATCAGCATCTACGTCTAGAAACGCCACCATCTATTGTGGAGCTGAGATTATGTCTCTTGAGTGGGACTGCAAATCTGATCGTTTGGTATGTTACTGATTTTGTTATGTAGAAATGGATACTAGGAATCAATCATTTTTTTCTCTATTCCAATGTAATTTTTCTAATGGAGACTTGGACATTTGATGTTTTATTCTATTGTCTATTTGACCAAAGCTACTGATAGGAACTTCTGATGGAGGCATTAAAGCGTGGAATGTAGATGCTAAGCGAGTTGTTTGTGATCTCAACTCAACTGAAGGATACCCTAGGTGCTAAAGAGTCCTGTTTCAACTCTTCGTTTGGGCACGATTAAATTAAAATGCAATAATCATCGCCATATCTTACCTTTTCTTTCATGATATATTTTCAGCATTTTGGACCTGAAATGCAGCCCTGTGGAGCCTATTTTTGTTTCTGCAGCAGCATCCAGGAGGTACTCAAGTACATTCTATATTCATTACCCCTTGGCCACACAAGCATTCCCGTTTTATATACATATATTTTTTTCGGTGACATAATGGGTGTCTGCCCTCACTTTTGATAGTTTGGGGGTGTCCTTGAGCATATTTTCGACCTGCATATTGTAAATGCCATTACTGATCTTAACAGGCAAGGCAGCGGCTATTTTGATAGCTTGGGGTTTGCTTCATTAACAGTATGGAACATGAGGACATGGAAGTCTATGGTACGTGTCTGTCTCACTAATGAATTTGCATGTTCAAGTATAACCTTGTTCCCCTCTTTTACATTCCTTGCGTGTATTAGTTTTATGTCCTCATTTCTTTTACCTTTTTGAAGACAGTGCTTCCTCTTGGTAATGATCCACCTGCAATAACCTCGTTGAGTTTCAATCACAACGGCAAGCTGTTAGCAGCTGCTGCAACTGATGGAATGATTCATATGTTTGGTATCCTTACCCTGATATTCAACAACATAAATTAGTCATTTATTTTCAGATCTTGATATAAAATTTAGCAAATAGCAATTATCTACACCTTAATTTTGGGAAAGATATGTCTGCTGGGCAGCAAGTTACAGGATGGCCTGCTCATGATTCTGCAATTAGCTCGATTCTTTTCGGGCCCGATGAGACCAGCATTTTTAGCTTGGGAACTGATGGAAATGCAAGTAACCTTGAAATTTTAGCCGTTAACATTACTATTGATGTATTATCATATGGGTCCCTTTGCACATTAATACAAGTTAAATTGCCTTTGCTGGAATTTTCGAGAGTCTAATCGGACCAGTTTGAAAACGCAGATATTTGAATGGAGCTTGCACAATCAAGGGCAAATTCTTTGGTCACGAAATTGCAGCAGGTATGAAGTTATCCTTGTAATCTTACTATCTGCATGAATATTGTGATGTCATGCAGTAGCTTTTTTCTTCCTGAATATTGTGATGACTCGATCACTTGATATAGGTTTTGCAACAGTGAGAATTCATATCAGTGGAGACATCAAATGGCTTTGGATGGCAATGGAAAGAGGCTTCTCGTGACGTCTAGTTCATTACAAGCTCCAATATACCAGGTTAAATTGAAACAAATACTTGTTACATTCTTGACCTGTATTCCAATAGTTTACTACTAATGTCTAAGTTTACCTTTCTTCTTTTTCGTATTTCACTACTACCAGGTCCGAGGCGAAATGACTGGCTTCAGAACTCTTTCTCACAGTGGCCCCATCACAACAGTAGATTGGCATCCAACTTTACCTATCTTCTTAACTGGCTCAGCTGATCATTCGGTCAGGGTCACATCCACGTCTTGATGTTCTGCGGCTGCCCGTTGTTTGTTGTAGCTGCTTTTTCTCTATTTCAACAATGTACCTTTTTTTTCATTTTTAGGGGAGAGTTGAAGAAGAAAGTTTAGATAGACTGAAGGTAAAACATCTCAACTGTTGAGAAGAAATATGAACTTTACTTGATCATTACAAACCCCATTACCTCGTTTGTCTCGATTGTCTTAATATTGCATTTTCTTTTTCCTGAGCTCGAATATTCAAATGTAAAAACCAAGTGAACCGAAACAAATTTCATAAACAGGAACCATGATAAAATACTTTCAAGTTCCAAGTTCACAATCAGAAACATGAACTGCAACCTTAACATGAATAGGAACACAACTAAAATAATACTTTACAACAATCATGTTCACCATCACAGA